TTTTTTCCATCCTTTAATTTTTAATCTTTGTTTTTCTTTAAGTGTGAGGTGTGTCTCTTGTAGACAGCATATGGAAAGATCCTGTTTTCTTACCTGTTCTGCTACTCTCTGTCTCTTGACTGGTGCATTTAATCAATTGACATTCAGCGTAATTATTGATAGGTATGATTTGATTCCTGGTGTGGCGCTGTGGGCTAATGCGTCAGGCTGCAAAGTCGTTTGAATTGCAAAGTCGGTGGTTCAAGCTCACCAGCTGCTCCTTGGAAACCCTATACAGGGTCGCTGTGGGTTGGAATCGACTCAACAGCACTTAACAGCAACAACAAATGAATTGATTGCAGTCATTTTGCGGCAATTTTAACTGTACTGAATTCATTTTTGTGTGTGCTTTTTCGTGTCTTATTTCTTTATAGTTTTAATGTTTACAAAATTTTCAGGGATTTTGCTTTTCTTGATTTGAGGTGAAGGTGTATTTTGTTTCTTTGAAGTTACCCTATAACTTAACTAATTCCTTCCCCAAATTAAAACAGTCTGTTTATCTTGAAATCTACTTGACTTCCTTATTTGGTGTTCTGTAACTATGTCTTCCCATCATTTTGCTCTGTAGTTGTTTTCATTATAGATTGAAATCTCTGATACCCTGTCTTCAGTCTTGTAGTTTTGTTTTATTCTGGATACTTCTCTGAATGGTTAAATTCTGGGGGGTGCTGCTGTGTATGGCAATGTATGGTTGTTGTCTGCTGTTGTTGGTCCAAAGGACTCCCTTTAGTACTTTTTTGTAAAGTTGACTTTACACATTTTTATAAAGTGTTTGAAAATTCCTTTAATTTCTATTTTCTGGAAATGTTCTAGTTTTGCTATTGTATTTAAGGGCCGGTTTTGCTGTGTATGTGATTCTAGGTCAGCAGTTATTTTCTTTCAGGGTTTCGTATTTGTCTCCCCATTGCCTTCTCCTCTACATGATTTCTGTTGAGAAGTCAGAACTGAATCTTATTGATTTTCCTTTGTCAACAGCATTTAGTTTTTCCTGAGCTGTTTTTCAGTATTCTTTCCTTGTCTTTGATTTTGAAGAGTTTGACTAATGATATGTCTTGTTGGTTTTCTTTGCAGGGTCTGTGCTGTGTGGGTTTCATTCGGCTTCTTTAGTACTTATCATCTTATTTTCCATAATGTTAGTGAAATTTTCTTCCTGCAGCTTTTCATCTATCTTTTCTGTGTTTTTTTTCAGCCATAGATTATTCTTCTTCATGTTATTCCACATGAATCTTGGGCTTTCTTCAGATTTTTTCATTCTTTTTTCTGATTATTCGTCTGTCTTACTAGTACTGAGAGATTTATCTTCAAGCTTGCTAATTCTGGCTTCCAATGATTAAATTTTGCTCTTTTGCTCATTCAATATATTGGCCATTTCTGATACCATGGTGCTCATCTTCTGGATTTCTGTTTACAGGTTTTGTATTGTCTCTAATGCTGTGTCTGTTTTGTTTGATTGTCCCTGTAGCGCTTTTCTGAATTCTTCCTTGTTTTCTTCGACCTTTCTGTGAAACATTTGGATATACCTCAGTATCATTCTCCTGAATTCTTTTTCAGGTAGTTTCAGTGCCTCTTCTTCCTCAAAAACAATTTGTAGCTCTGCTTCTCTGTCATTTGTTTGAGTTATTCTGTCTTGTTTCTATCTGTGAACAGAAAATTTCTGCTGCTTTCTAGGCATTGTGATGGTGTTGTATTTGTATTAAGTTGATAAATGTATGTTGGTGTATTCTTAGGCATTCACCAATTGCCTACTGCAGAGTGATCAGGAAGTAAGCTTCTCTGCTGTTTGTACAGTTTAATTCAGAGTGGATTTAGCCGATGTTGGTTTTAGTTCCTTTTCTAGTATATAGCAGCTGGTATTGGCTCTTGCCCAATTGTTGGGATTGTAGAGGGTATGACTGTGGCTTGGATGTATGACCACATTTGCTGTCTCTTATTGTGTAATGCAAGAAGAAGGAAAAGAAACAAACAAACAAAAAAAACCCAGCCCATACAGGGAAGAATGAAAGTGCATGACTTTCACTCTGCCAATAAGCAGTGTGCTATGCCACCTACTGGCCTCTTGCTTTCACAGCTACCTAAGAAAGTTCAAAATGGCCACTCTGCATCCAGCGTGGCCACACAGATCTCCTGCCTCCTTTCCTTCCTTTTGTTCCCCCCCCCCCCGCCCCCATTTTTTCTCTACATCACATGTTAGTTCAATCCTCTCTCTTAGTGAGAGCCAGTCCAGGCTGGCCAGGGTCGACTCTGCATATTTGGAGCAAAGCCTGCCCTAGTATGGTTATTGTGTGTAGCTTGTCCCCAGAGCTCTCAACTTCCCAGTGGCTCTGACCCTCTGGAAAGTGGGAGATTCCCTGGGGTTGTACTATGGTTAGGAGTCTCCACAAGTCACAGGTAAGTTTTTGCAATGTGAATAAGTTTGTGTCTTTTTAACTTTTTATTATGAATTGAGTGAAGGTTCACAGACAAGATCATCAGCTTTACCCTCAACCAATCATATGTTTTACTTCATGAACTCAATGATCACAATCCCCTACCTGCATCTCAATGTAAAGAAAACAAAAATACTCACCACTGGACCAATAAACAATATTCTTATTAACGGAGAAAAGATTGAAGTTGTCAAGGATTTCATTCTTCTTGGATCAACCATCAACACTCATGGAAGCAACAGCCAATAAATCAAATGACGTATTACATTAGGCAAATCTGCTGCACAAGACCTTTTTAAAATGTTGAAGAGCAAAGATGTCAGCTTGAGGACTAAAGTGCAACTGACCCAAGCCATGGTATTATTAATCACCTCATATGCATGTGAAAGCTGGACAGTGAATAAGGAAGACCATAGAAGAATTGATGCTTTTAAGTTATGGTTTTGGAGGAGAATATTGAAAGTGCCATGGGCTGCCAAAAGAACCAATAGATCTGTTTTGGAAGAAGTGCAGCCAGAGTGATCCTTCGAGGCCAGGATAGCCAAACTTCGTCTCTCATACTTTGGACATTTTGTCAGGAGGGACCAGTTGCTGATGAAGGATATCATGTTTGGTAAGGTGGAGGGTCAGAGAAAAAGAGGAGGACCCCCAGCGAGATGGATTGGTAAATTGGCAGCATCAATGGGCTTAAATGTGGCAGCAATTGTGATGTTGGCCCAGGACTGGGCAGTGTTTCATTCTGTTGTGCATAGGGTCGCTATGAGTCAGTACTAAGTTGATGCCACCTAACAACAATTACAAATACAAAACAAAAAAATACATATTCATTTAAATGTCCAAAGGGCACATTTTGAAAGCCTGCCTCCAGTCCACAGGCACACAGCCCTTCTCAGTCATGGGCATAGAGTCTGCAGCTGCTCTGTCTCTCCATGTCATTGCCTCTGCCACCGTCTCTGCCATCACTGCTTTTCTAGGTAGGATCTTACGCTCCTTTCCTGCTCTTCCTTCTTGATGGCCCTGGAATCCTTTGTTCCTGATATGAAAGATTACTCCCTCCTTTTAGTTACATGTCTTCTACAATTACAGTTGTGACAATGCTATGTGAATATGTTTTCTTGTCTCTGAAGTCATTTACAAACTCTCAAGGTGGCTGTGGCAGGTCTTGTCAGCTGCTTTGCTTGTCAGTCACCTCCTCTTTTTCGGTGTCCGTTCAACTCTCTCTTAGGGTTTGTCTGTGACATCTGGTTTTGCGTATCCTCGCTGCAGAGAGCCCACACAGCCTTTCTTCTTATTCTGCTATCTTTCTCTGATCCTCAACTGTGTATATTCTTAAAAACAACAAAATACATAAAACAGGGGCAAAAAGCCAACAAAACAAAACAATTTACACATACATCTATATGTTTATAAATTATCTATATATACTACCAAGGAGCTCTGGTAGCGTAGTGGTTACGAATCAGGCTGTGAACCTTAAGGTCAGTGGTTCGAAACTACCAGTCGCTCCGCAGGAGAAAGATGAGGCTTTCTACTCCCGTAAAGATTTACACCCTCGGAAACCCTGTACAGGGTCGCTATGGGTCGGAACCGACTCGACGGCACTTAACAACAACAACAATATATTCTACCATTGTTTTATACTTTATAAATCGAAGCTAAGAAAATACTAGAAAGAGAAGTTGTGACATTTTCTTCCAGTCCTTAGTGAATTCCCCTGGACTCTCCTTTTGGCTGACTCGCCATGTCTTTGCAGGGCTGTAAATAGGTACCTCTGTGACTGGGTAAAGGAGGACTGGTGGCATAGTGGTTAAGCACTCAGCTGCTTATCAAAAGGTTGGAATTCAAACCCATCAGCCACTCTGCGGGAGAATGGTGTGGTGGTCTACCTCCATAAATCTTCCAAAACTCTATGGGGCTGTTCTGCTCTGTCCTATCGGGTCTCTATGACCTGAAATTGATTGGACAACAGCAGGCTATAGCTGGGTGAGCCATTGTTTATTTAAATGGCAACTGAGAAGTTGGCTTCCCTTTCTTTGTGGGAACCTGTTGTGTATTTCTATTAATAAACAAGTCTGGGGAGAGACTAGATCACAGATATTTAAACTCATTTGCTTTCCTTTTATAACTGTGCAAGCAGTGATGTTATAGCTTTACTCATCTATCTGGGAGTTTCAAGACTTTCCACTGAAGAGACTTGGCCTGTTGGGATCAGAAAATGATGACAGAAGAGACTTTTGGCATCAAAGCTATTAATGCCAAGCTGACTTGGGACTGCTTCTCTGTTCTTAGGAAATGAGAGAGCTTAGTGCTGCAGTTCACAGCTGGAAAGCATTCAGTATCACTTCCTATTCCAAAGAAATGGATGGAGGTGACATCCAGGAATCTTCCCCACTGACCTATTTAATTTTGTTTCAAAATATATTGGCTTAATAAACCAAGTTTGTATCTGAATGGTTGGGTAAAGGTGTGTGTGTAACTTCTACACATTTTTTTAAATAGACTGGCTTAGAATTCTGTTTGCCTCTGGTTGTTTAGGTACTAAAGTTTCTACATGAAAAGGGATTCCCTTATGGGCATCTCCATGCTTCCAATGTGATGCTAGATGGGGACACCTGCCGGCTGCTAGACCTTGAGAATTCCTTATTGGGCCTGCCCTCCTTCTATCGAGCCTACTTCTCACAATTCAGGAAAATCAATGTAAGTTGCTGACAGTAGTGAGGCAATAGGTTTATTTTAGTTATAAATCGTTCCCATGGCAGGGTTTACAGGAAATATGCACTAAGCAAGGAGAAATACAGTTGGGATAGGTCAAGCCTATTGGCCCCAGTTCTCCCAGAGAACACTGCTGTATCTCTAACAGGCTGAGTTGAAATGGAAGGTGGAACAGGGAAGGGAGTAGAGTCCTTGATTGGAAAACCTTGGAGAGTAGAACCAAGTCCTTAGATCAGGGTCATATGATCTGGGGCTGGAGCATTGGGACTCAGACATCCAAACTGAAAAACGAACATGCTGTGACTCTGTTTTCTTCCACAGACATTGGAAAGTGTGGATGTTCACTGCTTTGGCCACTTACTGTATGAAATGACTTACGGACGCCCACCTGACTCAGTGCCTATAGATTCCTTCCCTCCTGCACCGTCCATGGCTGTGGGTCAGTATGGGGTTTGGAACCACCTTCTGGGCCCTGTTAGTCTGCAGAACTACTCACGCCCTTTCCAGAATCTAGGAAAGACCAGAATGCCATCCCTGACCACCAGAAATTCTTACACAATTTTAAAGGAGGCCAGATTTCAGTAATTTACTTAAATACACGAAAGTGAAAATACAGGTGGTTTTTCCGTTTGTCAGGCTGTCTGACACCTCGGGACTTTTGTAGAAGTTTAGAAGCTGAGGATATAAAGAATAAGAATAGCCAGCTTGCATCTAATGACAGGTTTTGGGTGCAGAAGCAAAAGCCAGGAGCAAGCAACTGGAAGCCAGCCCTGAGGATTCAGGCAGGAGTCAGAGGTCAGATCAAAACTGGAATGGGACTGCAAGGAACAAGGGAGCCCTAGGCCAGACACCAAATAGTTGAGAATAGTGGGCTCAGTGCTGGGGAAGACAGGAAAGCAGACACCAAGGCGGGTTGGAGCTAAGAGCTCTGTCAGCTTTACTCGAGAGGGCCCACCAGAGCCAGAGGACTGGCAGGAAACCCTGTTAGGAAGAAAGGAGAGTGGAAACCATTGGAGACTTATCAGGGATCCTTCCACAACTGGCTTAGAACTTAGAGCTGGCACAGAGCCAGGGGAGGTCAGGGAAGCTCTTGGACCACTGTGCCATCAAATATGGGAGTCAGCTCTTCATCAGATGTTAGTTTTGTGTCAGATGAGGTGGTTCAACAGCACACGTCCTGAGACTGTTTTGTGTTGGGTCTGAACAGCTGAAAAATCTGGCTGGGTAGAAAAATCTGGCTGCTTTATTTATGGCATGCAACGTGTTGGATGATGCATTTTGGCATTTTGTATGCTGGTTTTGATTAAAAGCAGTAGAACATCAAAACGTCTTTTAAACTCAGAATTTTGCATCTATGTAGTGTTTACTTCTCTTCTAAGAAAGCAAACACTTTTATGAATGATTATCTTGAATCCACCCTCCAATTATTCTTGAAATATATTTCGCTTTCCATCAGCATGTGGTTTCTGAACCATTTATTTTGAATCATCCGGGAGTCTCAGTGTTGCCAGTGTCCCCCTCCCCATGTATGCCATCTGTCTGTGTGTGAAGAGTTTTGACACTGGCTCCATCAGCCTGCAGACAGTTGTTGCAAAGTGGTGTCAAACTTTTCATCACCAAGTGGATTTGCCAGCTTGTTCTGTGGAACTAAAATGTGTATCTGTTCATTTCAAGTGGCCGTGTTGGAGTCCACGCTGTCTTGTGAAGCCTGTAAAAATGGCATGCCTACCGTCTCCCGGCTTTTACAGATGCCGTAAGTCAATCACGTGCCTTGGTTGTGATTTTGCTAAGTGTGCTAAGGACCTGGCCACTGTGCCCACATGTGTGGTTCCAGAGCAGACTGGATTTCCGTCCTCGCAGTGTCGACGTGACCTGCATGCTGATGATCACCTGCAGCATGACTTCAGGACCCTTTCCTTGTGATGTCTCTGCCACCTTAAGCTGATTATGCCCTTTAATGTGAACATCATGTCACATGTGTCTCTCTGCCTATTAGCATTTTCTGTGTATGTGCATGTGTGCAGGCTGAAGTTTAAGAAGGTCCCAAGGAGGTCCCCCCAAGCATCTCTCTTTTGTGACCCCTCTGCAGCACATCAGTAGGCCACAGCTGTGGATAGTTCACAGGTCACAGGGCCATGAAGGGTCTGCCCTCCAGAAGAAGGACAATGGGTTTCTGGGTTCCCATGCTTTTGTTTGTTCATTTATTCACTGGGTAACATTTATTAAACATCTCACATGGACCCAGCCCTGTGCTAGGGGCTTAGTCCTCAGAAGACATTCTGCCTTAAACAGTGTTGTGAATAGCTAATCAAAGCAGGTGAAACCATGCTTTGAATCTTTCCTTTAGAGACATTTTCTATTCCTTCAGACAACAGAGTGGTTAATAGGTGTTTGGACAGACCTAGGGGTGGGCACTACCTGAGTGACCTGGTGCTAGTTACTTAACTTCTGGAATTTGAGTTTTCTCAACTGTAAAATCGTAATAATAATACTCAGAGGTTGCTGAGAGGATTTGATGAGATGATTCCTAGTGTATTGCCAGTCACTGATTATTACAGATTATTAAACATTATATAAGATTACTGATTGTAAAAATTATTAAAGGTATGGCTTTAGCTTGTAGTCATTGAGTACCTGCTGGGTGACAACACACTGACATTGTGTCCAGGGCCTTTAGCTTGTCTTCAAGAAGAGGAAAGTAGGAAAGGGAACTAGAGAGGAATGGGATGAGCATTAGTTGAGACCCTGCCCTATGCCAGGCAGTGTCCCTGCTTGTTGTATAACAGATGTGGGAAACAAGGAAGAGCCACTGGGTAAGTGCGTGCAGCCACAGTTCAGAGGAAATGGAGACTACATTAGCTTCCTGTCTGCTCTTTCAACAAGTATCTACAGAGGGCCGACTATAGTGTGGTTAAGGTATGTTTCCACTGCTAAATGAAAGGCCTGTGGCTCAAACCCACCAGTTCCTCTACAGAGAGAGACCTGATAATTTGCTCCCGTAAACATTTGGGCCTAGGGAATCCTATGGGACTGTTTTCCTGTCCTGTAGGGTCACTATGAGTCAGAAATGACTGCGCACAACTGGAGTGGAGGCTTTTCTCAGCAGACCAAGCTCCTGCGCCCAGGAAGTGACATTCTAATGTTCAGCAGATGCTGGAGTACAGGCCAATGAACCAGCCACCACCAATGATGCATGTTAATATGGAAAAATGTATCCTCTTAGGGAAAAAAGAAATTTATACAAACTTTTAGAACACAATGCAATCTGTGGTCAGGGATCAGCCTGTATACTACATGTTGACTTATTTGCATTTGCATCCGCAACCCCATTCCAAAGCCCGGAACATTTTCCTCTTTCACATATTTTCTTTGCACGTAAACCTTTCAATTCTGGGCTCCCAGCCCTGAGAAGGGTATCTGAAGCCGTGTGAACTGTGTTCACTTAAAATTTGTTTTCTGGAAGCAAATAGATGTGTGGACTAGGAAGGGGAAAGTTTTGTCCCTTTCCTCAAGAGCCATTCAGGAGAGCACTGTGGGCAAAGTTAACACTGCCATTTCTACTTGTGACGCATTTCCTGTTTTTATTTAAAAAGTGAAATATTCAAGGACGGGATCATTTGTAGCCATTCGGGCACTATTCCACAAAAATTTTAATTCTTGTTTTATACAAAGCAATTCTGAATTACTCATACTATTGTTTTTTATAACATGTTTGAAGAGAAATCCCAAGACCTAAAAGCAGTTTGTTTGTTTTTTTAAAGAGAGCATGAGAAACCCTTTTCTTAGAAGAAAATTATTTATGTGTTAGATTAAAATCAGGACAATTCCTTTCCACTTAACTTGAACATTCATATTCTTGTGAGCTCTAAAATAAGTCGTACCTTCTCTGAGACAAAAAAAAAAGAGAAAGCCAGTTATTCTCTTTAGAAATATCTTTTGCATATATTATTTTAAAAAGTGATTTTTTTCCCCCTAATTACCAATGACATTATTATATAGAATGAGAAGACTGTTGCCCATGATGGGAAAGCAACATCCAGTACACAGTTGGCCCCGTCCCCTCTTAGATAGTAATGAGAGGCTTTCCCTGAGGTCACAGTCACCGGCCTGCAGACTCCTTTGTGTTGGTTGATGAACATAAATGTCTTGAGCCCAGGTGGGGATGTGGTGGGGAGAATTAGGGGGACCTCATGAACTAAAGGTGTCTTAATCTGTTTTGATCTTGTTCTGAGAGTGCACCTGATCTAAGAAGGATTTTTTCCCCTTTGTTTCATTCCTTTACAGATTATTCAGTGACGTTTTACTAACCACATCTGAAAAACCTCAGTTCAAGGTAAAGTAAATTACAGCATTTTTTTGGTTTGTGACTTTTAAATAAATTGATTTTGAAATTTAGCGTTTCTTTGTTTTGGTTGTTTTTAAACCAAAGGAGAAGATACGATAATAGGGAAAAGTTGCAAACAATCTAATCTAATCTGTGCTATATATGTTGGATAAACTTTTTGTTTAATAAAAATAAAATTTATAAAGACACTGTAATAGCATGGAAAATGATTAGGATATAGGCTTAGGGTCAAAAAAGAATAAAATATATGTGTAAAAAAGATCTGTTGTCTATAAAAAAGATAGAAAGGGAGTATCCTGGGGAGCTTTGGAACCTAAGCCCCAGATTGATGCCTAACTCTGCTCTTCTAATACCAGCCCTTTGTCTGTGGCAGGTTTCTCAACCTCATCATTGACATTTGGGACCAGATAATTGATTCTTTGTTTTGAGAGGTTACCATGCATATGGTTAGCCAGCATCCATAGCCTCTACCCGCTAGATGCTGGTACCAGTCTCCATCCCCTCCCATCCCAGTGTGACAGCCGTGTCTCTCCCAGAACATTGTCAAATGACCCTCAGTGGGCAAAGATAACCTCGATGTAGAACCTAATCTCTGAGCCTGTGTGTTTTGGTGAGTGAAGTTGGAAAACAATACCCATTCGGAAGTACATAGTTGTCACTGAACAACTGATCCCATTTGTGGGAAGAGCTGGTTGAGGGCCTGGCTCTCAGCAATGCTCGCTCTCACTGTTGTTCTCGGTGGTACAGCGAAGGGCAATTCTCTTGCTCCTCTCTGTATTCCCCAGAACTGTTAGGATGAAAGCGCCTCAGAAAACCAAAATAAGGTGGGGCTAGAAGATTGTGTAAGTAAGAAAGAAGCTTCCCTCTGCCCTATTTAACCTCTCAGAGGAGTTCTGACAGTAATAACTTCTTTGAATCTCAAGTGGGAAAGAAAAAAGCATTTCAATATATCTTTTCTTTTAATGAAACTCTTCAGGAAATGTATTCAGCCTTGTAAATAAAGAAACTGTCTCCAAGACCGATATTCCATCCCCCAGGATTTAGGGATTATGCTAAAATCTAGCTCTTCTCCTAAGCCGGAGACAGTACCAATATTAATTTCTTATGTATGCATTGAATTGCTGGAAAGATATACAAGAAACTTGTGAGTCCTCAGATGGGAACTAGAGGAGAGACTTTTCACTGTGTATCCTTTCTTACCCATCAACTTTTGAATCATGTCCTTTCTGTTCAAAGCATTTTTAAATGTTTTAAAGAATAATAAGGCCACAAAGTTTCCCATGGTCTGGATGTCCTATGTTTTAAAAGCTTAGAAGCAAACCAGGCTTCTGTTAGGAGTTGTCTCCCAACAGAAGTAGCTTAACCTGGTGAAATTCAGGAAGTACATTTTTCATGGAGAAAAATCCCTGTGGATATCTGAAGTTTACAAAATATTATAATTACTTGAATTAATATATATCATGTTTATTTATGTTTTAATGTTATCCATTTGTTGTTAAAAAGAAGTGTGCTGGGAATGCCAGAAGCATCTGGGGTAGGATTTGTGTGGCCAGGTTACAACTGATTTTACCCCAGATGACCTTCTTCTTGATAAATAACTGTTCCTTCTTTGTAACCAGAGCCCCTGAGACTATGGCCATTTTAATCAGTGGATTATGTAATTTTTCTTTCTTTCAGATCCCCACAAAGTTAAAAGAGGCATTGAGAATTGCCAAAGAATGTATAGAAAAGAGACTGATAGAAGAACAAAAACAGGTAAATTTCGTTGCCCTTTGATCTTTTAGAGTCCCCATCTCTGTCAGATTTGCATGGGATTCACAGTAGCTGGTTTTTGACTGGTTGTTCATCCCCTAAACGTGTTCTGCACGCTTGATCTGAAGCAGGTCCAGGCTAGATGCTGGAACACAGGTAGAATGCTTCACATAGCCCTGTCCTGCAGGAGCTCAGTCCAGTAGGGCCAGCAAACATGTCCAGAAAGGGTGGTCAACCAGGAGGTGGTGGTGGACCATGCTCATGGGCCATGCTCTAAAGATGCCTTGGGCCATACTCATTGTCTGTAAAAGAGAGAAGGGCAGCAAGCGAGGAACTCGAGAAACCAAGGCAGATCAGCTTCCTTCAACATAATCTTCTAGACATCCAGACCCCGGGCAAGGAAAGTTTTTATTCACATAATATGATGAAACAAAACATGTGGGAGAAAGTTTTCACTGGCAAGCTGTCTTTTGTAGGAATGACATACACTTATGGTGGGGTTGTGGTCTCTTAAAGATTCACCAGCATCGAAGACTGACAAGAGCACAGTCACACCATGGTTCTGAGGAAGAAAGAAAAAAGAGAAAGATTTTAGCTCGAAAGGTAAGCCTAGTGTCTTTCTGAATTCCCCCTGTGAATTCTTGAGTGCATGTGAAGAAAGTTCTAGGTTAATGGTACACATTTTATTAATGGCAGATTTAGGACTATATCTCCTTGAAAGCTGAAATTATTTCCAGATGACTGGTTTTCAGCCTTTGACAAAGAGCCACATAGTATCAGCAGAGAAATGGACCATTTAGTTTCCTGGCTCACGGGACTGATTGTGGCATATTATAATTGGGGAAATGGTTGGCCTGAGAGTAAATCCAGCATTCTTGGTTTTACTTCCCCCTTTAGTTTTGGCTTGTGGCTTCTTTGCTGTATTAAGTTATGAGGCCAAATAAGACCTTGTCTGTAACTAGTTTAAGTATGTGCCTGGAAAATATTTCTATTCTAATTTCCAGTTTCACTGTGTTTATTCATTGCATTTCCTCCCCCTTCTTCTATTTATAAAGAAGTCAAAACGATCAGCTGTAGAGAACAGCGAAGAACATTCAGCAAAATACAGCAATTCCAATAATTCAGGTAACCTATTATGGATTGTGGTGGGGCCCAGGAACCAGAGGTCAGGATCAAGAGGTTGCCTTCTAGTGGCCGGTGCAGTAGTGAATGTAGAGGACAAAGGGATTTTGTTCCTAATGAACAACTGTAACACCAGCATTCACAGACTGAACTCAAGGCCTGGAAGGGATCTTAGAGATTATAGGGTAGTTCAGCCTCTTTCCTGACGTCAAGACTCAGTCAATTAAAGACACAGGAGCATTAGCCACGGAGGAGAAAGTGGACTGGATTTAAAATACAAGACTTCCTGTCTCTCAGTGGTGCCTACATGAGCAGAAATGTCTGTAATTTATGCTCTCTGCTCTGGTCCCCACACAGTAAAGGGACAGGTATGGGATGGTGACTCCCTGTGTTCTATTCCTTTCTGAAGGCCCACCTGCATGCAGGGCTCTGTGCTGATGTTATCAGATGCTTAGGAAAATGAGGTAGCTATTGTTGATGGAATTTACAGACCAACCCCAAACCCTGTTTGAGTCACAATTCAGTCTTCTCCCCTTTAAAATTGATACTTTGCTACAGAGCAGTATGAAAACAACCTAGGCCAATTTTTGTGGTAAAATAAATAAAATAAAATAAAAAACCTAGTATTTTATTGGGTGGTATTATGGTGGCTTTGTAGCATAAGCACTAGACTGCAAACCACAAGGTAGGTAGTTTGAGCCTCTGGGATAAAGATGAAATTTTCTGGTGCCCCAAAGATTTACAGCCTCAGAAACCCTGAGTTGGAACTGACTCTACTACACTTAACAACAACTAGGGAGTATTTCTGATAGTGTAAAGGTATTAAACTAGGGGGAGGTGTGACAAATCAGCCCAGTGTCCATGAGGCCAACATGTGCTACAGGTATTAAGTGACGTGGTGGTTGGAGGCATAACTTAGTCACAACAGCTAGTTTTACTTCTTAGGTGTGTGTGCCCAACAACCCAGGAATCATCCAATTATGAAGCTTTGGTTAAGCCTTTGATAGGACCTTTGTATGTGAGAGGGAGGTTTATGTAGGAACCTCCATCTGCTCATTAGAGCTACTTCTAAGTCAGGCCAGGAGAATATTTTCTGGAGATTTCCATGAAACAGGGAGATGCTGAGAACTTGGGAATATTTGAAATATAGCACATTTACTAGGCCCAAAGAAAGCATGTAATGTATGGGAATAGGCCCATTGCTTTAATGTAAAAAAAGGTATTTACTGAATTTCAGGTAAGAAAGGGCCTAGGAAATCCACAAACTGAGCAGGTTTGATCCTGTCATTGAATATCAAACCAATCCAAACCTACTGCTGTTGATTCAATTCAGATTCATAGTCACCCTGTAGGACAGAGTCAAACTGCCACTGTAGGATTTTCAATTCTGTAATCTTTAGGGACACTGACTGCCTCATCTTTGTCCAGTAGAGGGCTGATGGCTGTGAACCCCTGACCTTTTAGTTAGTATTTGAGTCCTTAACCACTGCACCAACAAGGCTTCTTATCTCATTGAGTGTACCAGCTGCTACAATGGAAATCCTCCAGAACACACTATTGGCTGATGGGTGATGTAGGAAATTCCACCTGCTTTGGAGAGGTGCCCACTGGACTGCTCTGTACCTCTCTGTGTCTGTGGCCACTGAGCTTCATTCGTTTATACCAGGAAGAAGCTTGGAGTTAGGAAAAGATATTGTAACCACTTGCATAAGCAGCTAGTTGAGCAAAATGGGTTTCAAAACAGGGCCTGCTGTGGGGAGCAACAGGAGGTGTTGAGCCATTAGTGGCCTGGGGAGGGTGTGCACCTTGCACTGAGGTGGAAGCCTGTGGTCACCTGGCTCAGTCTCTGAATTTTCTCTCCCTTGTTACCTTTTACCAATTGCCGTTGAGTCCATGGCAACCCTGTGGAGTCTCTGGGTGGTGCAAATGGTTAACACATTTGGTTGATAGTCAAAAGGTTGGAGGTTTGAGTCCATTCCAAGGTGCCTGGCATCTACTTCTAAAAGATTAGCCTGTTCTACCTGACACATATGGGGCATCAGGAGTTGGAGTTGACTTGAAGACAACTGTTGTTTTTTCAATCACCTTTACCACCAGGTCCACACTCTTAAGTCAAGTGCAGAGTCCCAGATGATGGTGGGTCCCCACTCAGGCCAAAATTATAACGTCTTTCATTAGTTCTCATGAGGGTCTCTCTGTGTTTCTCTTAGCAGGCTCTGGGGCCAGCTCACCTCTCACGTCCCCGTCATCACCAACTCCACCCTCTACTACAGGTTAGTAAAGGAGGTAAAAACCCATGCCCCCCTCCTTCACACCCACCCAAGGAGCATGTCTCTTCCAGCACCAACCCGGCTTTGCAGGGTTAGGTGGTAGAAGCCGGCTGCCCAGGTGGCCTGCCTTGTCAGAGCCCACTTCTTATGGGAGCCCTTCCATAATGCCAGTCTTGTGATGGAGCACATCTGAAAAGATACCTAGGTATGAGAATGAAACCCGCCACCAAGTTTCTGATTTCCTGAGGTGCTTTTTGTGTTTTATTCTGCTCTGTAACATATTTAATTACCTGAATATTTTTTTCTTTGTCAGGTCTTTGTTTCACCCTTGTGAATTAAATCAGATACTATCAGTTTTGTTTGAAAAATGTACCAAGCATTTACCTTGGGGAGTACTTACAAAAAAATGTCGATAATTCTGTGGAGTGTATTTAGAAGATTATGTTTCTTCTTTCCTCTTTGGACTAAGATCGCTCTCCTATCCATTTTGTGAGCATGGTAGAAGCACATTGTTGTTGTTGTTGTTGTTGTTGTTGTTGTTGTTGTTATGTGCCGCAGAGTCAGTTCCAAGGCTGAAAATATTTACAGGAGCAGAAAGCCTCATCTTTTTCTCACGGAACAGCTGGTAGTTTTTAACTGCTGACCTTACAGTTCGCAGCCCAATTCGTACCACTACGCTACCAGAGAGTATCTCCTTTCACTACTTAAATGAACTGAGTGTTCTGGGTGTCCAAGGAGCTGGTTGTGTCACTCAGTTTGTCCTTGTGCGTGGAAGGGTCTCGGCAGTCATTTGAAGGGAGACTCATTAGCTGAGTTTGATTTAAGAGTTGATGATACTGTTTTCATTTAAAGCAGAACCCAGGAACTAGCCAAGCATAGTACCCGATTGCTCCCAAATGCTTCTAACTGACCCTTTGAAAGATGACAGCAAGCCAGTGCAAGGTGACTAGTTTGAGCAATGTACTTCTGGCTGAGGATGGCTACTGGTGACTTAGTGCTGGTTTTCAGTAGAAAGAAGAGCTGGTTTTCAGTAGCAAAGTTATCTGGCTCATTGTTGGTGTTGTGTATGCCATCAAGTCATTTATGACTCGGAACAGTCCTGTGTACAACAGAACGAAACACTGTCTGGTCCTGCACCATCCTAACAATTGTTGTTACACTTGAACCTAGTGTTGCTGCCATTGGGCCAGTCCATTTCGCTGGGGGTGTTCCTCTTTTTCGCTGACCCTCCTCCACTTTACTGAGCGTTATGTCCTCCTCCAGGGACTGGTCCTTACTGACAACATGACCACAGTATGAGAAACAAAGTCTCCCCTTCCTGGCATCTAAGTACTTTTCTCCACCACATGCTTGTTTGTTCTTCTAGCAGTCCATGGTACCTTTAATATTCTTCTCCAGCACCATAGCGCAAAAGCATCAATTCTTCTACGGTCTTCCTTATTCACTGTCCAACTTTCACATGCATATGAGATTATTGAAAATACCATGGCTTGGTCAGGTGCACCTTAGTCCTCAAACTGACATCTTTGCTCTTCAACACTTTAAAGAAGGCTGTGCAACAGATTTGCCTAATGCGATAATGTGTTTGATTTCTTGACTGCTGTTTCCATGTGCTTTGTTAGTGGATCCAATCAAAATGAAGTCTTTGACAACTTTGATCTTTTCTCCATTTATCATGATGTTGTTTATTGGTCCAGTGGTGAGGATTTTTGTTTTCTTTACATTAAAGTGCAACCCATACCAAAGAGTGCGGTCTTTGATCTTCATCAGTAAGTAAGAGATGGTATTCTCTTCCCTATCTGAGTTTGTCAGCAACTTTTACAAGAAAACTTCTAGGTATTGTTCAAGATAAGGAATAGGTTTCTTTGCCTTTTGTAGAAATGACCTATATAGGCTATTCAAAAATTTCTGAATAGCCACTGCCCAGACCATGTTTTCTAGCATACAGGATATCACTTAGACATGTTAAAGAGATTGAAGCAAATCCACAGTGAGATTTCATGTTGTTTTGTGCTGTGAACTCATTCTGACTCATACTGACCCTATAAGACATAATAAAGCTGTCCCCTAGGGTTTCCTAGGCTGTAATATTTTAGGCCAGCAAATCACCGTTGTTTTTTTCCCCATGAGACAACTGGTGGGCTCAAACTGTCGACCATTTGGTTAGTGGCCAAGCACTTTTAAGTGTGTGCTCCCAGGATCCTTTAACAAAGGCAGTGTGTGTTGAGAGGCACAAAACACCTAACTGTGGATCAGATGTGGCCCTGGGAAGTTAATTGCCAGGTCTCATCTTTAAATACGTTAGGGAATTCAGTCTGTTAGAAGTTCTTTTGTGAATCTTCTAATTTACCTGGCTTTTGACTGGGAACTTTCACAAGCAGGCTATCATGGGATGAAGTAACTTTCAGAATGTTGTGTTAGGTGCAGTTGAGTCCGTTTAGACTCATAGCAACCCTGTATAGGGTTTCTGAGGAGCAACTGGTGAGTTTGAACCACCAGCCTTTCAGTTAGCAGTCCATGCTTATCCTACAGCATCATACCAAAGGGGAAGGAAAAAGAGAATTCTTTTGTTATGTTAGAAAACTTTGTCTGAGATGAGAGAAGCAATGGGAGCATTACTGTGAATTTGATAATACGTAAACGAGTCTTGGTGTGGCACTGTGGGTTAATGCACCAGACTGCAAAGCCGTTTGAGCTGCGAGGTTGGCGGTTCCAGCTCACCAGCTGCTCCTCGGAAACCCTATGTAGGGTCGCTATGGGTCGATATCAACTCGATGGCACTTAACAACAAAAGGAGTCCTGGTGTGGCACTGTAGGATCAGCAGTGAATTGCTAACTGCAAGGCCAGCAATTCAAACCCGCCCGCTGCTTCTTGGAAACCCTATACAGGGCCACTGAGTCAGTGCTGGCTTGATGGTATTAACAAGAACAACAGTCTGAAGGGGAACTGTTCTGACTCAGAGGGAAAATATCTAAAGCCCCAAGCAAGGTCGGCAGTTCAAACCCACCTGGAAACCTTACACAGTCAGAACCTACTCAACAGCACTTAACAACAAGAAGCAAATATTTGCATGTTCTTTCCTTTGTCTCCTTATTTGATTTCTTGATGAAATTACCTGATTCAGCCTCAAAGATTATGCTCTGACCTCTGCTGGGCATTTATTATAGCACGTCTTATAAAAATGCAACTAATATTAAGCCCAAGGAGTTCTGGTGGCGCTGTAAGTTAGATGGTGGGCTAACCACAGGGTCAACAGTTCAAACCCACCAGCTGTTTTGCAGAGGAAAGATGAGGCTGCCTGTTCCAGTAAGATTGACCGTCTCAGAAACCCTAAGAAGCAGTTCTCTATCATTGGGCAAGTCACTATGAGTCAGAATCAACCCGATGACAGTCCTGTAATATTAAACGAGTCCCTGATGGTGCAGTGTGAAGTGCTCAGCTGCTAGTTAGAGGGTCACTGTGAGTTGGAATTGACTCGATGGCACACAACAGCCACAACACTGGTAAACATCTGACTGTCCGTCTAGCATCTCAGGCCCTAAGTGGGACATGCACAGTGAGTTTAGTCATTGTAGTCAAGATGCACTCATCAAGTGCCTGCAGTGGGCCAGACTAGGCCCCAGCCCTCATGGAGTCCAATCTCTGCTTCCTCTCAGGAGCTCCAAACATGAACATTCCAGCAAATCTGTCCTTGGGGTCTGGCCATAGTAATTTTTCTCCCAGTGGTGCCCCTCTTACACAGAGGGTCTCCACTGGAAAAGTTAGTCCACCAACAAGCAACATGTTGAATTTCTGTTTTGTGCAAGGCACCAGGGAGATACAATCAGGTGGCTGAGCCCAGAGGAGCTGTCAGTAGATCCTGGTTAAGGATTTGCATAGACTTGCCCTGCCTTCAAAGCCTCAGTAGGATGAGATCCAGATTCTCCAAGTGCAGGAGGCTCAGCTTTCTCACTTCCTCACTGCATGCTGCCCATGTTGCTATAGGAATCGTCTTTACTCTAATATCTGACTTGATTTCCAGGCACGTTTATGGTTTTTGAAAAAGCATGCTGATCTGGGAACTACATAAAGGGTAGTGTTTACCAGCTTTCTGATGATGAAAAGCAGTGTTCCTAAGAAATAAAGGGAAATTTGTTTTCCAATGTCAGCATTCATAAAGAATCCTGCTAAAAGTAGCCCCCCAAGTGCAACCCCATTGGGAACCCTTGAGAACTGCACCGTGAGTCAGGGAATCTAAGCTCCAGTGAGGGCTACCACTTGCTAGTACTGGAGCCTTGGGCAAGTCCCTTGGTCTCCCTGTCCTTGAGGCTTCCCAAGGAAGGATAATCACAGTGCCTGCATCTCATCAGGTTATTATAAAACTCAGTGAGTTACACATATTAAGGTTTAAAAAAGTGCCTGGCACACAGTAAGCCCTCGGAACACCTTGAGTGAGTCACTTTCCACATTTGTTTTTCATAATTGCCACTGTAAAAGGCACAGGAATTGGAGAGACCACCTCACACACTCCTTCTAATTAAGCACACTCAGATTCCACTGTGTGGATCGTTACCCCTTGACAGTATATTCCAAAGTAGATGAACTTAGGCAAGTCCAGACTGGCAGCAGTTCCTCGCCTCTTGAAACCATCTGTTTTAAAAAGGCACATTGCTGGCAGCTAAGGGAGGTCTTAGGCTCAGTTACTTTTACTGTTGTTGTTAAGTGCTGTCAAGTCAGTTCTGACTCACAATGACCTTATACACAACAGAATGAAACACTGCCAGTCCTGTGCCATCCTCACAATAATTGTTAGAACAGTTGAGCCCATTGCTGCTGCCACTGGGCTAGTCCATCTTGTTGGGAGTCTTCCTCTTTTTCGCTTACCAAGTGTGATGTCCTTCTCCATGGACTGGTCCCTCCTGTTAATATGTCTGAAGGAAGAGAGATGAAGTCTGGCCATCCTGACTATTAAGGAGCATTCTGCTATACTTCTTGCACCACAGATGTGTTTGTCCCTCTGGCA